CCTACGGGAGATGGGCAGAGGTGGCACCCGGGTCCTGCCACCCTCCTGAGTGTCCCCTCCCACCCCTGAGTGTCCCCAACCCTGCAGGACGGGGGCAGAGGTGGCACCCGGGACCTGCCACTCTCCTGAGTGTCCCCTCCCACCCCTGAGTGTCCCCAACCCTGCGGGACGGGGGCAGAGGTGGCACCCGGTGCTGCCACACCCCTGAGTGTCCCCTCCCACCCCTGGGTGTCCCCAACCCTGCAGGATGGGGGCAGAGGTGGCACCCGGGTCCTGCCACCCTCCTGAGTGTCCCCTCCCACCCCTGGGTGTCCCCAACCCCGCGGGATGGGGGGCAGAGGTGGCACCTGGGTGATGCCATCCCCCAAGTGTCCCTGGGTGTCCCCAACCCCGCGGGATGGGGGCACAGGTGGCACCCGGTGCTGCCACCCTCCTGAGTGTCCCTTCCCACCCCTGGGTGTCCCCAACCCCTCGGGAGATGGGCAGAGGTGGCACCTGGGTGATGCCACACACCCCTGAGTGTCCCCTCCCACCCCTGGGTGTCCCCAACCCTGCGGGATGGGGGCAGAGGTGGCACCCGGGTCCTGCCACCCTCCTGAGTGTCCCCTCCCACCCCTGGGTGTCCCCAACCCTGCGGGACGGGGGCAGAGGTGGCACCCGGTGCTGCCACCCTCCTGAGTGTCCCTGGGTGTCCCCAACCCTGCGGGAGATGGGCAGAGGTGGCACCTGGGTGATGCCACACACCCCTGAGTGTCCCCTCCCACCCCTGAGTGTCCCCAACCCTGCGGGACGGGGGCAGAGGTGGCACCCGGGTGATGCCACCCTCCTGAGTGTCCCTGGGTGTCCCCAACCCTATGGGAGGGGGGCACAGGTGGCACCCGGGTCCTGCCACCCTCCTGAGTGTCCCCTCCCACCCCTGAGTGTCCCCAACCCTGCGGGATGGGGGCAGAGGTGGCACCAGGGTGATGCCACCCTCCAGAGTGTCCCCTCCCACCCCTGGGTGTCCCCAACCCCGCGGGATGGGGGCAGAGGTGGCACCTGGGTCCTGCCACCCTCCTGAGTGTCCCCTCCCACCCCTGAGTGTCCCCAACCCCGCGGGACGGGGACAGAGGTGGCACCCGGTGATGCCACACCCCTGAGTGTCCCCTCCCACCCCTGGGTGTCCCCAACCCTACGGGAGGGGGGCAGAGGTGGCACCTGGGTGATGCCACCCTCCTGAGTGTCCCTGGGTGTCCCCAACCCTGCGGGAGATGGGCAGAGGTGGCACCCGGGTGCTGCCATCCCCCAAGTGTCCCTGGGTGTCCCCAACCCTGCAGGAGATGGGCAGAGGTGGCACCTGGGTGCTGCCACACCCCTGAGTGTCCCCAACCCGGGGACAGTGACCACAGGGTCCCTTTGTCACCGGGGTCACATCTCCCCCTCGCCGAGCGGCCCCAGTGACCATTTCCCAGTTCCCGGTTCCCATTTCCCCATTCCCGTTTTCCGGTTTCCGTTCCCGTTTCCCCTTCCTGGTTCCCGTTTTCGTTCCCCGTTCCCGTTTCCCATTTCCCATTTCCCCGTTCCCGCTTCCCTATTCCCGTTTCCCTGTTCCCGTTTCCCGTTTCCCATTTCCCGTTTCCCTGTTCCCCTTTCCCGTTCCTGTTTCCCATTCCCGTTTCCCGTTTCCCATTCCCATTTCCCCATTCCCATTTCCCCATTTCCCGTTTCCCCATTCCCGTTTCCCATTTCCCATTCCCCGTTCCCCATTCCCATTTCCCCGTTCCTGTTCCCATTTCCCATTTCCCATTCCCATTTCCCATTTCCCATTTCCCCATTTCCCATTCCCATTTCCCATTCCCGTTTCCCATTTCCCCATTTCCCGTTTCCCCATTCCCATTCCCATTTCCCGTTCCCGTTCCCTACTTCCCATTTCCCGTTCCCGTTTCCCCGTTTCCCGTTTCCCAGTTCCCCATTCCC